CACTAAGCGTAGGGCTATGATCACAGGCAGCTGGCGCACATGTGTGATATTTACTATATATTGGGACACTAAATAAGTAATCTATTGTAGTTTTAGTGACCTTACTGCTGTACTTTCCAAAGTCAGTGTTGTGTCATGAATATATTCAAGATGGTGGCCCCCATTTACTCGTAGTAAATATATTGCACATGTGCGCCAGCTGACTGTAGCCAGATAATGGTGAAGGATGCGGTGTCGGGGTGCTGTAACACACACACACACACACGATTCAATCAAGTACCTGTCAGAACTTTTCCAGACAACGACTTTAGAGCTGGGTTAGCCATATCTTTCCTTCGACTGTAGCCGGATCGTTACACGACACGCCTACTGTATCGGTTGACTTCACAGGAACCCGGGGTTTAACAATTAACAGTAAATATTTAATTAACGATAGGCTGATTACATTTTAAACTTGTCAATTTTTCTTCACCGAGAATTTATACTATAATATTATAATTGCAAATAGCTTGCTTGTTTTTTTTTAAACTAAACCATTGGTCATATAGTTTATTAACCGGCCACGTCCGAACTGGTTACCAAAAATATATGAGCGCCAAAGATACATTACGTAGAGTTTGTTGTGGGTATGTAATTACCAATGTGCTTGAAAGACCTAACCTCTACCCGACTGACCATTTTTCAATAATAATAATAATCAAAACAATCATCAACGCATCAGATAAACATTTACTGAAAACACTAATCCAATACATTGATAATGCAAACTTGAAAAGAAACATTTAATAACTTTTATTATAATTAATGTGTGTTCATGTTTATTAATTTAACTTTATTACTCAGAGCCCAAAAAGATTGTAATTTCTTTACGGTGATAATGAAGCGTTATTGTATTGTAATATTGTTTCATTGCTTCTTGAGAAAATATATTTCTATCAGTGTATAGCAATAAAGTGTAATAAAAAATAAAATACAAAAATGTAGTTTAAAATGAAAAACAGTCCCTTAATAGAAACATCTATTGGGAAATTAGAACTAGAAACCAGGAAAAAAAAATTCACTTGTCACACTATTTCAGCCACTAATTTTAAATGCTTTCCTCTTACATGTTTATTGGAAGAAATTCAAAAACTAGTAAAGCATCAATAAAATTGCGTTGTGACTAAAATAAAATGAAGCAAATGTGACTTCCTATTGCCAGAATGTAAGCATAAACCCATAAAGATGCAGAAAATATTCATAAGCCGATTTTCCTGTGGACCAAAAAAAATTGTTGAGGATGGTTGCAGACAAAGTTCAAACGTGACAAAGATGGTTCTTCATGTATTGTATTATCAACAGGTAATTGTAGAACAACTTCCAAACTGGTGATTAGAATTACAATGATGTATGACCATACGTCTCAATCCGGGGTCTCAATATTGCCTTAACATTTACATGTAAGTTGATATTAATTCAGAACTGGGCTGTAATCACAGCATGGACATGTTAGAAAATCCATGATCACAGAATATATATATTGTGACGTATATTTTCAAGGATGTTTTTTTAAATCCTCACCTTGTGTGGAGCTAATGCAAAGCTACAAGATTGTTCCTGATTGACAACCTGGTCCTAACACCTTACAGGTAGACCAATCAGAGAGCAGCTTGTTTTTTTTCAACGCATTAAATTCTGCCATGCAAATGCTTGTGTAAGGGCTTACCCCTTCAAAACTACTGTGACTCTTTATTGTCTGCAATGTCTGTAACATGTACAGTGAATTGCGTCATAAATTGAAATTTGTGTGTCAGCACTTGTTTTTTTTTGATCAGGACAACCTAAAATATTGCATTACTCACTTTTGGATCCTGCTTCAGAACACGGTCAGCACAACAAGCGGAAAAAGTATGAAAAGTTCACTGGATGCTGTGACAACAAATTTCATAAATTTAGAAGGAAGGGTCCTAAAATTGAAAGGTACTGAAAAACAGACAATTACGATATTGCCAATTATAATTCTATGGGGAATGTTTCACATTTTGATTAATTAAAACGAGTCTGTATTGGCATTGTCACATGTATGAATGAAGTAGCTGATCACACCAAAATCTATGGAACTGTTCGATTATTTCGATTACGAATACTGTAATATTTGCAAGGTCTCTGCAGTAACAGTTGTAGGAGTTAATTTTCGAGTATAAATGGTAAACGATAATGTTAAGACAAAAACAAAAAATCATATGTAATGAAATCTTCTATAGAGTATATGAATAAAGTAAAACAAACTTGTCTTTATTTATTGAAAAAATAACGTCAAATAGACCAGCAATTCAAAACTAGGGGTTTACTAAGAAAGAAATGAAAGTATCGTGAGTACTGGTAATTTGCAAGCTATGATCAAATTAAAAATAAATGGAATAATGCTTCGTTTAATTATGATTTCACATTTGAGGTTAATACATAAAATACTGCATTTAAAAAAAATCCCTGCCCAGACTCAAAAATTCAATGAAAATTTGTTATAATGATAGACACAACAGGCAATTCCCCATAATTTGTAATCCAGTTATATCAAGGAGTAAGACGAAGCAACTTTCATAATCATGTATGGTGATATGCAAGGAAGACCTGAATTTGTGTGCTTTGCAAGCATTTCAAAGCAATTTTTCTAGGTAGCTGCTTACAAACAGTTCACAGAGCTCTTGAACAGCAATCTCCTCAGATACTACATATGACATTTTAACTAAGCATTTTGATGTTTTGGTGTTTGAAACAATATAGCACTGACAGTAAAATGTATCTAGTGTGAAATTAGTTGGTAAATAAATATCGTCACTATTGAAGATGTAAATTTTAATTTTGGCAAGTGTTGTTATGATGAATGAAGTGCTCTGTTGAAATCATTATATGCAGATTCCAAATCAAAAAGCATTTGTCTGACTTGGTCTTCATTGAGTTCATCTGATGCTGTCATACTGCCAAGAATCTGTAACCTGTCAAAATGAAGAAAACATAATAAGGTCACAAGTGACATCTGACCAACCACTACCAGTTTTAAGTTACAGTAATAATATTAATATTGAACATGACACATAATTTACAAATTGTAAATGACAAATGACAGTGTTTTAAACATTGCAGAAATGGAATAATCACTGATGAGCATCAAAATCTGGGTGAAAAATTATCATGGAACATACTGAATGACAAGTCATTGTTAATGACACAGTCTCTGTTACAATTTGGGAATAGTTATTCATACCCAAGATAAAGTAATACATGGCATTAATCAATATTGCTGCAAATCTGTCGTCTTTTATCTGATCACAAATTGAATTGTTATGGACAGGTGTTGCTACATGTATAACATATGCAATCAAATTGGATATGCAAATCACTGGTCATGTGACAAGTGATTGTAAATTGTTTGCGAATTAATTTTTAGTGTATGGTCAGTAATTGAGAGTAAATAAATAGACAATTATCATCAACTGATGTCTAAATTTTCTGATATATGGTCACTATATATTTCTTTGTGCTATTTCTCATGTATTTGCATATTTTGTATTCAAACTCAAGTGTCCAGTATCATAAGCATGTGCTAGCTTATTTCTTATGGCATTATTCACTGACACTCTTTCTAAAAATGTTTTCATGGCAGGAAATTGAGACACTCCACAATTTAATGATAAAGCATATAAGTCAAACATGAATGTGTACTCATGTTGTGTGCCCAAACAAGCGGGCCAGAAATGGTATCTCTAGTTGTATTACAATCACCAAAACCAATTATCACTTTTTAAAGCAGGAGGGTCACCACCTGCACACGTAACCATAACAACACATGCTAAAATCCCAGCTCATGGGTAGACGCTTGTTTGTAAACAATGACACGCTATGGCCATCTAACGCATGCGTAGGTTATCATTTCCCCGCTTTAAAGTTTATTCAGTCATAATTTATGTCTCAGGAGTATTCTTGCCATTCATAAATTCCT